ATAAACTTACAATTGTGGTAAAGGCAGGAGGGAGCTCGAACGTATAAAGTTTATATTAAGGATCATAATTAATTGAAATACTTCTAACATGGTTATCTTACACCGAAGATTTTCTCCATAAATGATTGCTATATAATAAGCATACAGTTAAGAAGCCAGTGAAAGATTCTAGCGCACAATGGTTATGGCCATACAACCAATTATTAAGGCCACATAAGATGGTTATTGCTATACAACCAATTATTAAGGCTGCATAAGATATAATGTGTGTGTCTGATTTGTTTGATTTTACTAGTTTATAACTATTTAAGGTACGTATTTGAAAATATTATCTTATATGTTACTTTTAAATTTTAAAATAATAATTATTAATTGTTTATTAAATATTAAGTAATAATTATAGTTATTAACTGCTAAGTGCTAACAATTGTATATAATATAGTTATATTTTTTTAATCAAACTCCACAATAATTACTTGCTAATGTTAATAAAATAATTTAATTAATTAAAATTGAAAATTGAGAAAACAACGAAAAAGGTTGAGAAAAGAAATACTGAACTGTCCCAAAACCCTAAAAATCCCAGCCTTATCATACTGCAAGTCATAGTTGGCCAGAAAATTTTATATTGAGTCATGGGCTTGGATAATTGACACTCTTCCCCTCGTTTTCAAGACTCTTTCCTTGTTTTATCGTTTCCATGAGCAGCTTTATGGGATCCTAAAAATACAGTTTCCACGTGACACACTTATCTATCCATCCACTACTATTTGACAACTTCATGCCATGCTCAATAAACAATTTACTTCAACAAAAACTCCACCAAGCGGTCCGATAATCGCGAGTCTAATTGAAATCGATGAATTGTTCATCAGATTTGGAGATCGAATATTCAGTTGCAAACATCTGACAATACTAACCTACTACCTATTGCCTTTATAAAAAAAGGTTAAATGCTTAATTTGGTCCCTCAACTTTAAGAAATAAACATTTTTGGTCCCTCAACAATTTTTTGCACTTTTTTGATCCCTCAACTATACGAAATGCACTCCGTTAGTCCTTCTGTTAATTTGAGCCGTTAACCCTGCTTAGGTGGCATTTTTTATATTTTTTTTGATGATGTGGAGAGCAAAACTTAAAAAAATGATGACATGCATAAAACTTTTGCCATGTCACATGCTACCTGGCAAAAACGCACCAAATCCATCCAAATGGGTCCCACATCACCACTAACAATTGCTCATTTGGCCATCGATTACTGTTTCTATTCTTTCCAGTGTTTTTTCCATTTTCAAGATTGAAGTTCGA